ATCATGTCGTAAATTCCATCTAACTTATTCTCGCTATCTTGAAGTGTATTATAAATATTTCTCATTAAAAAAAAAAAAATATTATTTAACATTCAATTTCATGAAAGCATATTTTTTTTATATAAAATTTGTATGATGCATTCATACATGGTTTAGAAGCATAAAGCATTAAGTTGTCACTAATTTCAACAAAAATGACATATGGTCATATTATTTTTCAATGAATGCGAAACAGTGACAACAGAGCAATATTATCAAAGAATAATTCAGAAAGGAATGGTCAGAATATTTTTGGTGAGGTAAAATTCTTATTTCTGTAGAAAAAAACACAAAAAACAGCTTTAATTTCAGGAGAGAAAAATTGGTAAGAGTTCCTCAGGGCACCTTATTCCATAATTCTAATCCTAACCCCTCCCCTTCCAGTGCACCTCTCCTATTTTAATTGTATATGCCTTCAGGACGTGTATAGTTATCTGGAGGGGCATACACAATTACATTGGAGGGTGCTCGAGTGTCAGGGTTCAGGTTAGTGGGGTCTTAAGGAACTCTTTTCGAATGAATATATGAAATAACATTCAAACCATATGTTGTAGCTTTTATGAAAAGAAACCTTTTATTGTTACACGTAAGTAAATGTACGAGTAGTACTATCAACCCTTCTTGTAAACCATGGAACAAAGTTATGCAGAGGGGGGGGGGGGCAAGGGAGGAAGCTGGTACAGTTTTACGGGAAATAAAAAGGGCTTTTTACAATTTACAAGGAAAAAGACGTTTTTACAGTTTACAGTGAAAATTGAATTTTGCAGTGAATTGTGTCATCTAGTCGTTTTACAGTTTCGAAAATATAATTTCCGTGGAATATTGTATGTACCAACAAAAATGACACATTTTTACAGTGTACGAAAAAAATATTTGATTGATTACGTTGTACGTCTAGCCTGTGATTACAGAATTAGGGAATTTTTTTTTTTCAATTTACGTTGTACGAAAAAAATATGGCAATTACGTTGAACGAAAATAACCCTTGCCCACTCTATGCAGGTAGATGTTGTTATTATTAAAACTTATGATGTTCTAACAGTTAATCCTGTCAGCACTAAAAAAAATAACAGAATATTTGTAATACATATATAGATTCTCAATTCTTTTTTTAACATATATCCTTGTTTTCAATTATTTTAATTGGAAAGCTGAATTTAAAAAAATGTGTCTATTTGGTCTAAATCTCAACCGTTATGTGTAGTTGGTTTATATGCAGGTAGAGATAGTATATAACCAGTGTGCCCACTGACAGGACTGATTTAAAATGAGTCAAATTCACAATTTCAAATTGATCAGTTTAACTACTTTGGAGAGAGGTCTTTAAGATAAAATAAAGATTGTGGCATCTACTGTAAAGACAGACTAAAATGATGTTGCCCTTGATATTTCAGATCAGATTCAAATATATTTTTCAATAATAAAAATTCATCAAGCAATTTTGCAATTTTGAAACCTGAACTTGGTCGTGCATGGAAATATTTTGTTTCTAGGTTAGCACATAAATGTTCATTGAAAGTAATGATACATTGCAAACTATGATCATTTTCACAAGGCACACACACATACACACACACACCCACTCCCACACACAAACTACACAACAATTTGACATAAAAGGAGGTGCAACTTAATAAGTAAAATAACCAGCTAACAAAACTGCTGGCAAAAGCAAATTAAGGAAAATTATGCACCTGAACATCAAATTAATGAAATTCAAAATAGCAACATCTCTTCTAAAATACAAAACCATTTTGATCAAATCATTCAAAAAATAGAATTTAACTTCATTAAAATCTTTACCAGCCAAGGTTGGTTTATTTGCCCTATTGCCTTGTCACTACTGCCAACCTTGGCCCTCTTTGGCAATTTCATATCCCGCCATTTTGTTTTAAGATCATTACCATAACCTATGCCAAGTCTGATTGGATACAAATTTCTACAAGCTCGTCCAATCAGATCTCTGTTTTTACTAATGTCAAATAAATGGTTTCCTGGTAAAGTTGTGGGGGATTATGATTATATAGAGTTGCCAAACTGCAATTCGATTGATGCATCTTTAAGTTTATTCGCACTTCATGATTTTAATGTATTCAGTTTCTTTATTTAAGGTATATCGCCATGGTAACCGGTCTCCAATGCACAGCTATCCAACAGATCCATATACGTCAAGTGATTGGCCCCAAGGATTACAACAGCTTTCAGCTGTGAGTATGAACATGTTTAGACTGCCAGGATGTCTTGTTACACGTCTTATTGTTTATCTTGTGATTGTTTTATTTGGGATGGTCTTCAAGTAACATAGGGAAGTTGATGTATTGCCATGGTTATTTTTTGATTGTGCCTTGTACATAATTGAATATGCTAATCAAGTTTGAAAAAAACTGACCTTGTCTTTTGTAAAATGCTGGCTAGCGATCATGGGAGCCGCTTCTTATTGGTCTGATTTGTGAGAGTGATAAGTGAGGGAGTGATCACTCTCTTTAATTGGCATGCCCTCATCTTGTATCATGAATAAGCAATGTATTTGACCCCATCTGCATGCATGTATTCTCAGGGGCTGAGCTACGTCATGGACGTTCTACATTGCTAAGACGTGCACCACTGTACCATGTATTTCTATGGGCTCTGCGCGAGCTGCTGTGGAACGCCCATGAAAACAGTCAAGGAAACAGCACAGACTCAACTTTTAAGTAATCCTGAGTGACCATGTAGGGGTAATCTTGTTACACTGTTCAGGGGAATCTCAACAATTTACCCAAAGTACAATTTTCTAAGAGTTTTCAGCCTTTGTTTTCCCTGTGACGGTTGCCAGATGGTGAAAATGTAATACATTTCTCTATTTTTTTTTTTTTACATCAGAGCGGCAAATTACAGCATTATCTTCTTGGTCAGTGGTTACAAAAAAGATACGCAACTAATGACAAATTTTTGAATTCCACTTACCTTCGAAATGAGATCTATGTACGCAGTACTGATATTGACAGGACGCTGATGTCTGCTGAATGCAACCTGGCTGGGTTTTATCCCCCAAATGGTAAACAAAAATGGTCTTCAAACAATAAGTTACCATGGCAACCAATACCAATTCACACAGTAGCAGAAGCGGATGATAAAGTAGGTTCATTATTAATCTGTGTATATCTGTTAGTCGGTGTGTGTGGTAACAACATTGTGAAGACTGCAGTTTAACTTTACACCGACTTGTGACGACAGGACCTACTTGTGATTACCTTCACTATTTTCACTATTTACATTAATATTTAATCAAATTTAAGTCAAGTTTGCATAGCTTAGGTTTAGTAATTAATATAATTGTACCGTACCTACCCCCTTTACTAAACCTAAGCTTCGCAAACGTTTCATTGTACAGTCACAGAATATTAAACTTTTATTTGATTAAAATGCACGTTGTGTTGCATTGTAATTGAGTTTAATTAACCTCCAATTAAAATGCAACCCAATATAGAAACGCATTTTAATCAAGTTCATATTAAATTCAACTACCGTATATTAAAAGTTTATCCAATGTATGTCGTTACAACGACAGTAAGACATGCGTGTGTACCTGTGTGCACGTCTGCGTCTGTCCATCCTTCCGTATAGAAGCATAGAAATCTTTTATTTGAACTGTACTACTGTACTTATGCATCCCAAGATGACATGCATGTTTACATATGCACATATATTGTCTTTTTAATCAGATCATATATGACCACTAGACAAGTTTCAAGTTCCGCAGAAACTGACAGATGGCGTTATGATTTGGAACTCATCTATATTGACAAACATTTTATGTCAAATTTTCTCTGAGTGTCCACAAGCGTTTTTCAACCTTTTTTTTGGACTTGTTTCAGAGTTAATCAATCTGGATATAAGAGATTTTGTCATTTTAAAGGGTGGTGGTACACGCATTGTACGTTGCTATGAGTCTCGTATCAAACAGGATGCGCCGCTACGACAGTCGCTCATTAAAGCAGGAGGGGTGTCACCTGCGCACACGCGGGAATTCAGTCCCGAGCGACGATAACAACACACGCTAAAAACGCAATAGCTCATGGGTAGACGCTTGTTTGTAAACAATGACATCTGACGCATGCGCAGGTGACGACTCCCCCGCTTTAAGTAATTAACATTAGTTAACTATGGACAGAGAGGGCACTGCTCATCTGACCTTTTCTTGAACTCACTCATTTATTTAATTAATTACAGATGAAGTAATCATGAATTGTTCATTTGTACATGTAGAATGAGTTAACCACATTTTATTAATGATATAAAATAATGATATTATACTTAATGATTGTCAACTTTGGAATAAGGGATTGGTGTGACATGTGGCAGTACAGCTAAGAACTGTCAACAATATAGTTGTCTACTGGCTGATTACAGCTACCAGCAGAAATCTGTCTATGGATCAGTTTTTATGGCTTTAGTTCTGTATCCTGTCTGTATTACATGTACATGTATGTTAAACCCTAACTTCTGAGTTCAAAAGAACTGGTAGTGTCTAGTATTAAATTTGTACATTGATAGAGTTTCTTTTTTGTATGTGGGTTGTTGTTTTCATTTTTAATCAATTCCAGTGGTTCATTTGCTGGTAGTACTACTATGGCATTATGGTGTTAATGGAATAAACCCTTAATTTGCATAAATGTACATACAATGTATGGAATGTCACCAATTAAATTACAACACACACATATAACTAACAACATAGCTTGTAAACAGGAAAGGTTAACACTTTATGTTAACGCAGGGCTGTCTGGAAAAGATACGAGATTGCCCCCAAGGTGCCCACTGTAGATCAATTTCCAACCCATAATCCTTTGCAAAATCCAATGTGGTGGAAACATATTTCTGCCCTATTAGTCTGTCTACTGATATAATGCCCGCACAGAAATTGTTTTCACGTAAGAAATGCAGATAAAATGATTCCAAATGAAAGTTGTACAAGCGCTATCTAAAAAAGCGTGAAGTTTCATATAGTTTTAAGGTGTTTTGGGAACATAAATTAGAAATCAAATTTCAAAAACAACTTTGATCAAATTTGGCGTAGGCATGCAGTGTTTCATTCAGGAAAACCATGCAGTAAACCATGCAGTAAATACCTCTCAGTTGCGGGAAAATAGAAATAAAGGAGATGACAAAAAAAAATTCTATTCAGCCTGTTTGAAGGCGATAGTTTCATTGTGCGAAAATCGTATATCCATATTCATATAGCGGTATGACACAATAAAGGACACGCTTCAACTAAAATACCGGTAACATGCACCACAGAAATTCTCTAATGGTTTTGCAAATGAGACAATGTTCCAAAAATAATTTTACCAAATTTTATATTAACATGGTAATTTCCATCTAGGGTTACCTGTGGTATATTCAAGCTTGACGGAATTTGTGAATAAAACGTAATGTTCCTGTCAAATCAAAGTATTGTATAGTTTAAATCACTGGGAAAATCATATTTTATAAAAGTGAACATTTTTGGGGGGTTCTTTTCATGACGTTTACCAAGTAGTTCCTAAATATGTGTGAAGAAGGTCATTTTTGGCTCAGAAAAAATGAAAAAAAGGTTTTGGTCAATTTTTTTTTATTTGGTGTACAATCCTAATTTATGTTTTACTATTTCAAAATTGTTGTTAATATTGTGAATAATTTTTATTCAATTGCCCCTTTGATGTGGTATGAATGTTGATGTGAGTTCTTCTATTTTCACTTTTGCAGGTTCTGGGATTTAGTTCGTGTCCTAAACTTAAAAAGGATATCGAATCATTAATGAATAGTGATGTTTTTAAAACATACTGTGAAAAAAATAAGGCAAGTTTTCGTAATTTTGTCTAATCTATGTTGATGATGCAATTGTTTTTGTGATACTGTGGAATACTTTATTTTCGCTGGAATTAATTTTCGCTGAAAAAGCTTTTTGGGCGTTTTGTAAGGAATTTATTTTCACTGATTTTTGATGAGTTGAATGTGAAATATAGGAAAACAAGTATATTCGCTGGATTTTATTTTCACGAAATCATCCCTTCAGCGAAAATAGTGAAAATAAATTCCAAGCGAAAATAAAGTATTCTACAGTACTTTCTAACATTGTATGTCACTGTTTCCTTAACTGACTTTCTTTACATGACAGCTGCTAGTTTAAGCTATACTGTATATGTTGCCACATAAACTATATTGTATGCAACAAGACGTGGCTGAGTGATCATCTTCCTATCATAGTAGCATAATGATAATTTAATATATTATTCAAACATATTTGAAAATGATGGAGTTCAGTCATCGACAAAAACCACACTACAAATAAATAAGTTTTATGCACACCTTACTCATCATCTCTGTTGTTTACTTTATATTCAAGCACAAATCAATCTTGTCAAACCTTTTTTTTGGGGGGTGGGGTTGTTATCTCTTAATATATTAGGGCCTGAGGCAGGAAAACATGTACTCTAGTATGGGAAGTATGCCCTAAGGCAGCATGGGATGGCATTGCATTGACCTTTGCTATGAGTCAGTCAATATAATCACCATACTTCCATTATACTTTGCAGTATTCTTAATCCTATGAAGTCTTTGTTTCAAATACCGGAGTTGTCCGGTTAAGCGCCCATGCTCCAGGCAAACGTCCCCCCCCCCCAATATTGATACAATAAAGAAATTTGGGTCATGTCCGGGCATACACCCAAGTTTTTTTTTTTCTACACTTGTAATGAAAAAATATAACAAAAGCCTATTTTTGGATGTTGTAATAACAGTTGACTTCCTTGCAGTCTGTTGTGATTCTGATAAAAATTCTTGAAAAATAAATGTCAATTATGTAAACGGCATTGAAAATCATTTTTAGCCAATCAGTAAAGCAGATGCTTTAAGCTTAAAGATGATTGACAGAGTGTAAACAACTATGAACTTTCGTAAATTTTACTGTGTAAATATGTGAATTGTTATTGATCTTGTTACATGTATAACTGTTGATCCGGTATTTGTCAAAACCGAAAATAATTTGACCGCAGTTTGACCCCTTCAGTTCATGCATATTGGGCCTGTTTGTGGGTGGGGAAACCTTAATTCAAATTATTCTTCACTGTCATTTTTTTTTATTTCTGGTTTATTTGTCACATTATAAGCAATAAATTTATTACTTCTAATGTTGCATATTGTTCATTTATTTCCTTTGCATGTTTTCATTTGCCATTCTATTCCCTACCGCTTCGATCTGCATGTTGTCAATTGTGCATGAAATTTAGTTTTTTTTTGCAGGCGATGTCCGGGCATACGCCAACCCCTAATTTTTGTCAATTTCCCATGTTCAGGACTCTGGGACCGTTACCCAGACAACTACTGTAACATCACAAATCATGTGTTTAATTATTTATAGAGATGTCTGACTGAGACTAAGAAATGAGTAAACAAAAACTGAAATAGCATCAACTATATTTATATAACTGACATTGAAATAATTTAGTAGTGTTCTGGAGATATATTTCCTTGCAATTTACAACAAATTATTGAAAAGCTGTGGCAAACAGGTAATCCAATTGGAAAGAAATTGTTGGTTATTGTCTGTGCATATTTGTTCTCATTTGATCCGTTCAAGGCACTGACTGTCATTCTATGATATGTTATTATTAACTAAGAATCATAGTTCACTTTTTGTTACCTACACAGAATAGATGTGAACAATATTTTTCAAATTCCGGAAAAAACTGAAAAAATATTTAATTTGGTTCAAAATTATCACAAAACAATGTCTGGTGAAATGATTTTGCAAAAACATATTATCTTCAAATGATTTTTATTTTCTAAATGACCAGGACTTTATGGACTTTGTGAGAAATAGAACCGGTTTAGTGAATGGAACCTTCCATGACCTGCAGCATGTTGCAGATGCAGTGTGGTTTGAGGTAAGTTGTAAATTGTACTGACAGTGGTGTAAGTTAAAGATGTATTCACGCATATATTTTGCTAATATATGCAGGTTTAGGGTCAGAGTAATTCTCCAGATGTCCAGATATGAACAATGGTATTTTATATGCAGGTTTAGGGTCAATAGAACTCAGTGGTGTAATTCTCCAGATGTCCAGATATGAAAAATGGTATTTTATATGCAGATTTAGGATCAATAGAACTCAGTGGTGTAATTCTCCAGTTGTATTTAATAGTTGTGGGTAAAAGACTATTTGTTGAGTATGAAATATTGCCTAGTGGGGACTTTATAATTTTAATACATTACAATAATTGTGTTTTATACTTTCTATCTTTATAGAGAGTGGATAATAAGACTCTTCCATCATGGATTAATGACACAGTGTTTGGTAAATTAATAGATCTCATTAACTTTGGTTATACAATAAACCACAATGCTAGCAATGTTGAAATGACGAGACTATTCGGAGGTGAGCAGCCATGTATATTTAACTACTTCAAGAGGTTCATATTGAATCAAAGATGTCATCATCTTTAGACGTACATTGTTATGTCATTAGCATA